CATCAAATTCAGGCAACAGCTTGCGCTTTGGATAGCTCTTTGTGTGGTAACTACCACCATACTTTTCTTCATTGTCGAGCACTTTGTTCCATCTATTGTTGAGCGTATTCTGCGTGGCCTTAATCCTTTGCTTCTGCTTCTTCAGACTCCTCGCGGTGGCAATAAGCCTTCTGCGGAGGTTCGCTTGTTCCAAGTGCCTTTCCGGGATGATGTGTGCATCTTCGTCCGGACTGTTTTCCTCTCCGGAGGGAGGTTGATGAGCTTTATCCTCGGCGTCGCCATGTTCGGACAGCGGATCCATACTATGTTCGCCGTTTGCTGGTTCATCCTGCTCTGCCGCTGGGTCAATGTGGTCGTCGTTTCCTCTGGAGTCAACTGGGGTGTTATTTTCTCTTTCGCTGTTATCACTGTTTTTGCCGAGGCGGGATTTGGAGCGGCGCCTACGCCAACATTTTGTTTGCTTCTTGATGGAGCTGTTCTTCGCTGCTTCCTTCCGTTCCTCGTCATTGTTTTATTTGGGTGTATCCACCATGTATATGTCATGTGATGAAGTGGCTGTCCAGCGCCCTGTGGGCGATGGTTCCTGTTCTTCTCCTGCATCGTCGTCCATGCCGTCGATGTCTTCTGAGTCGAAATCGAGCATGTCGGTTAAATCGTCGACAGTGGCTACTAAGTGGGTGGTGGGTGGGCAGCGAATTTCTTCGTCGTCCGCATCCCATTCTAGCCGGACATAGTTCGGCCAAGGTTCTCCTGACAAGGAGAGAGACCTTAACGAATTCAGCATGTCACCGAAAGACGAGTGCTGAAAGATATCCGCGGAGGTAAACTCCATGGTCGGATTCGATAGGCACGGACGCAGGAGGCTCGGAGTCCGTGGCCGGAGACGAATCCAGTGATTCGGCAACACGGCTCTCGTAAGGGGTGAAGTCAGTATCCGGCTCTATCGCCACTGAGAGTGCGGCCTCCATGGCGGGGTCTATCCACCCGTCCTCGGATGGCGCAATTTGCTCCGGATTGAGGGCCGGAGTAGTTGCAGGTGTGATCTTCCGAACACTGTCCGACGACAGAGCTAAATCATGCTCGTCGTGATCGTGCGGCGCACCTGACATGGGCTCGAATCCGTCGAAGATCAAATCTCCGCGGATGTCGGCAGTGTAGTTCAAGTTTCCGAACCTGACCTGGTGGCCAGTGGCGTAGCTCTCGATCTGCTCCAGATGGCCAAGCGAGTTAGCCCGCAGTGCGAAGCCGCCGAATACGAAGATCTGTTCGGGGAGGAAAACCTCACCCTGAACCGCATCGTTACCGATGATCGAAGGAGCCATCAAGCCTTATGGTGGCGGCACAGTGGAACTCTCAATGAAAGTACCAATTTCGGTGTCAAAATCGGCGGATCTCTGGTAGGGGGTCCCGAACTGTGCGTCTAAGGCGGATGGTAACAGGAGGCGGGGGACACGATGTTTACCCAGGTTCGAACCCTCTCGGTGGAGGTAATACCCTACTTCCTACTTGATTGATCTTGATGATATGAGTATTACAAGACTTGATCTACCACGAGATGGTAGAGGCTAAACCATAGAAGCTTGCCTATGGTATGATTGTTGTTGTCCTACGGACTAAACCCTCCGGTTTATATAGACACCGGAGGGGGATAGGGTTACACAGAGTCGGTTACAAGGGAGGAGATCTACATATCCGTATTGCCAAGCTTGCCTTCCACACCAAAGAGAGTCTCATCCGGACACGAGACGAAGTCTTCAATCTTGTATCTTCATAGTCCAACAGTCCGGCCAAAGGATATAGTTCGGCTGTCCGGAGACCCCCTAATCCAGGACTCCCTCAAAGGGTTAATTAGATAAATGCCACTCCAATTCTGATGATTTAAAAAAATGGCACTGTAATTTACAAACTCCAAAAAATGCCACTCCCAAGTATTTTATAGTACATTGAAGTGGCATTTTTAGAAGTTTGTAAATTACAGTGGCATTTTTCTGAATCACCAGAATTGAAGTGGCATTTATCTATTAACCCTTTTATGAAATGTAATACATATCTTCTTAGTCAATTGAAGACCTAAAAATCCGTGTCCGATTTATAAACCCAACCGGAAAGAGATAAAAAGTCTGTACTACTTATGGCTTTTCCCTTTGAATTGACTACTCTTTATGACATGCTTAGTGCCTACCTCGACCCCTCTAGTAAATCTACTTGCACTGTTTCCTTGTAATCCGTCTAAACAACTAATCACATCTTTAGTACCATTGTTGCTCTATGGACTAATTTTCATTTTTGTCTTCACCCAAAAGAAAAAGCAGAATATTGTGTGCATGCAAAAAATAATATGGTCAACTCCCCAATATCTCCGCAGTTCGTGCCTCTGGCACCACATGGCGATCCGAGAGGGGTTAGTCTTCCTAACCTTCAGGAAGTGCCGCATTTATCTTTTTGCGTTTCTGAAAAGGGGGTTAATGCCAAAAAAATGGCAAGTTAATCTTTAGTGAGGCCAAAATGTTGACTATTGATTGGTTGATTGCTAAGGTGTGTTGGATTCACCGGCTATCCCTTGGCGGGATAGGATTAGTCAGTTTTTGGATGGTCGCTCCACATTTGATTCAAAATACGAGAGGGGTGAGCAATCACATTCCCATCTATTCCAAACCTAATTGAACTCATTCCATAAAATCTACCCCACAGGGCAACCACCCTAGTATCGCTCCACTTTTCTCATCCTATAAATGTTCCGCTCACTCCCGCGCATCCTCCTGACCCCCTGTTGCCCTCCTCCTCCGACGTCATCGGGGGAGGGCATTTTGTCATGCAAGTTCGTTCCCCCGCTCTCCGTCATCTCTGACTTGGAGTTCGACTAGGCGCTAGATCCATGTGGAAACAGAGGTTAGATCCACTCGAGCCCCGCATTACTCGGTTAGTCATCCTTTGTCGGAGAGCCAACATCGTTAGCGGTTGGGGCGCAAATATGAATGTGAGCAACCAAATTCTCAACCTATTCCCTCTACCCCTGGTTGATCTCATTCAATAAAATCTACCTAATAGGGGCAACCACCCTAAGTTTGCTTGGCTCGTCTCGCCCTAGAATTTTTTCGCTCACCCCCCGAGCGAACCAAATCTATCACCAGCACTGCCCCCTTGCCCCTCTTACCACTCCCCGGATGAAGGTATCGACGATGATGGTTGAAACAGGGGGCAGCGGTGGCTAAACTCATCTTCCAATCACATCCCTCCGCGTCCTAAGTCACCCCTCTCCTCCCGCTATATCCTCTGGAGCTGCAGTTCAAGCTACCATGCATGTGATTGATTCGGACAGGGAGCCCCCCACCATGTCATCTATTTGTGAGGAGAGCCTGAATATGGCATCGGTAGTCGGCGGCGGCTCATTGGTGTTCTGGTCCAATGTATGCTCATTGAACGAGCACACCACTAGTGGACTCTATGGCGTCCATCGATCGTCAGCCCATTCGACCTCATGCAATATCATTGAGGGCATGTCATTGGGGTACCAGCTGAAGAAGGATGTAGTTATTGAGCTGGCATGATCCTGAACACCTTCAGAAGCAAACTGATGTTTAAATTTTCTGACAACCTGTGTGAGCTTTGAAGGGTAGCATGTTAGACAAAGATTTTTTTGGCTTCTTGACCATAAGCTAGAGATGACAATGAGAAAGCACATCGAAGAAGAAGATGAGATGAGAAGATTGGATGACTAATCACTAAACTTATTGACATATTCGTTATTTCTCTTTGATTTGCAAATATGTTGAATCAATCAGGACTATAATGAAAAATGCACGATTATTCAAGTTCCTAGTATTTCCTAATATGAACACCACAAAACATTCATGAGATGGGACACCACAAACGATGTGCGGGTCTTAGAAGTGTACATCTCGTTGGTGAATGTTCATGCTTCTCCCCTTAGGTCGGTTCCTTTTGCATGCTCAGGCCGGATCAACTTGAGCTACACAACAATAACAAAATCACAAATACACCAATGGATTGTAACAAACCTTCTTCATGCTTGGGTTTTATTGCTATGAACGCGGTGTTGAGTATATGAGAATACATACGATTATATAGTAACCTACCGAACCTATAGAGTCCTAAGCAATGATTAGTTTTGGTCTGAATCGGAAAAAATCGGGGACACTAGATGAAGAAGATGAATATGACATGCAGGGTAGGGACGTCATTGAAAGTAGCTTATTGAACAGGCTCAGGGTCAGGATTGATCGGGATTGGCAAGCACATGGTGTCAATTTCAGGGATTATAAAGTCATGGTTTGATTCCGATGGACTGTACAAATTTAAGGTTTTTTTGGGCACATTTGCTATCGATAAGTTGCCTAGAAACGAACGGGTGAAAGTCTGAGAGAAGAAAGGGAGGTGAGGCGTAGCTCCATGGCCGAGCCGAGGGCGCCCCGATGAGCGACAAGGCGTGGTGTCACTAACTCGGTTGAGCTCGAAGCGAACTGGATCCGGGGAAGACACATCGGCGATGACACAAGTGGAGGGGAGTCTAAGACTTGATGGTTTGGGGGTGCGCGGTGGGCTGTCGATGCTGAGAAAAGGATGAAGGCGGCGTTGGTGGTGGGGGAGAGGGGGCCTATAGGAAAGCTCGGGTAATAGCAACATGGCGTGGCGCTAGTCACGGGCGAGAGCACCGGTCGCGAGTGACGGCAACAGGCGGGTCGACCAACATTAGATTGGATGGTTGGAAGAAGGGCTAGTGGAGGAAGAAGTTACAGGAGCCCTTGAATTTAAATCAAACGGCTAAAAATTCAGCTTACATTTTTTTCAAGCAACTTAACTATAGTTGAGTCTTTTTTCCAGACTTCACTCCCGTGGATGCAATCTACCCGACCAAACGGACAAATTCGGACGAACCAAACTCACATTTGATTTCCTCTTCTGCCGGTGTTTCCTCCTCGTCATGCCACGGCAGTCGGCAGCCAGTGAGTGAAGTCAGTAAGTCACCACAGACCACACAAATGCTTCCGACCACGGCGACCGCCTCAACGCCTCCGCCGCCACCGGCCCCGCCGCCTGGCGAGCCGCACGCTGCCCTGTTCCTCGCCCTGGGCTACATGCGGCTGCCTGAGCTGCTAGCCTGCTGGCGCGTATGCCGCCTCCTCGGCGAGGCCGTCGCGGGGGACCCCCTCCTGTGGCGCCGCCTCGCGGTAGAGCCGCCGCTCAGCGGCCGGGTGACCGACCAAGTCCTCCTCAAGCTGACTGCGAGGGCGGAGGGGACGCTGCGGTCTCTCCGCCTGTTCGGGTGCCTCCACGTTTCCGACACCGGCCTGCTCCGCGTCGTCGAGCACAATCCCTGCGTCACCGAGGTATTGGGAGGTTTCCGGCGCGTGGTTGTTTCCTCTAATTGAAGTGTCTGAGGTTGTGAATTGGTGAATGAGTTGCATTCTTGGGTGTGGAGTCGGTGGCGCGCGCGCAGTGTTTGTTGTTATGCCTGGCGTGGTGGTTGCATAGGTTCAACAACTCAGCTCATGTTTCCATGACTAGGATGCAATCATTCTTTATTTATTCTAGAACTGGAATTGACCCGACTGCAGAATCCTCATCAAACCGCATCACTTGCTGAATTACAGCTATTGGATCATTTAGTGGAACAATTTAGGCTATGAGATGTGAATGCTATGACAAATAAACCATTGCCAGTCGATGTGTGCTTTTCTCCTGGTGTTGTACGGTTTGTTCACCGGAGGCTGGGGCCGGCAAGTTGAGTAGGCGTCGTGGTCTGTGTGGGTAGGCAGCAGGAGATCGAGAAACTAGAGAACTAGATTGGGTTGAGAAAGCATATGAGAAGAGAGACTTCTCTCACTGCTTGTCCTCAATGATACAATGGGTATGCTTTTATAGCATATATGCCTAGGACTCAAATCAATTAACTAATAGTACAAGTACTTTATCTAAACTGGGCAGGACATGGATTGATTTTCTATTTAACCTCTGTTTCCTACGCCTCAGCTGCTGCTTGCTGAATCGGAGTTGATCTCTGCTTGTGTAGAGTTGTGATCAGACTCATCAAGCTGCTCCTGATCCTGTCTTGCCTGCAGGTCGGGCACAATTTACCTGCTGTTCCTGGACTACTTGTGTGACTCCTCATACTCTGTGAACTAGTTTGACTCAACAACATAGATAGATAAGCTCATATGAGCTTCGTGAACCAGAGAGACAGAGCCCATGCTGTGTATGTATCAACTATGAAGAAACACATACCACTTTTTGCAAGGAATAAATCTGCTACATTTTACTGGTACGAACTTGGACGTGATGTTGTCTAAGAAACTAAGCCTTTTCTTTGCTGTATATGATTAATTTAGGCTGGTTGGGATGCCCGTACAAACCTTTTCACATGCACCATAGAAAAGATGGCAGTTCAGTTGATTAATTGCTGCTACTTGCGCTAGGCAAAACGTTGTACCTATCGACAATAAAAGAACACATAGCTAGGCACCCCCTGATATATATGCTATTAATGCTTTGGTAGTGTAGAACACGGCACTAATTAGTACTCAGTCACTTCAACTTCAGAACTATCATGGCCTAATGACGTGGCGTCTCGACCCCGCGCCGCCTCCTCTGAGGCGACTCGGGGGCAAATCCTAATCGCCTCGACCCGCTCCTCCCTGCGCGTCCCCCCTCTCCGCCGCCGCCCGAGGTACTCACCGGCGCCGCCGCGTGGTACTGGTGAAGGTGGCGGCGGGGATCCAGGCGTCTCCTCCTCGGGCGGGGAGCCTCGGATCCATGGCGGCGGCCCTGGCTGGTGACACGCGGCGCAGCTTGGCGGCGGGCGGCGCCGGCGTGGACAGGTGGGCCACTTCCCTGGCCATGTGGATGGCGTGGAGGTGGTGGGCTTCGGCTGCGGCGGCGGTTCCTCGCTGGATATTGGTGGCCATGGTGATGTTCGTCCTCGACCCCGATCTACTCCAATCTGCAGCGGATCCGGCTCTTCGTGGCTTCGGTCACCGTTCTTGGGTGCTCGCCTTGCAGATCCGGTGGCTGGAAGGGTTCCGGGGGAATCTCTTGGCCGGCGTGGCGGCCACTCCGATGGCAGTGCCTTTGGGTGTTGCTTCCCTCGTTGGAGGCTTCAGAGAGGACCTCCTTCCTTCCACCCCTCCCAGGAGCTCAGGTGAAAACCTCAGACCCCCCTGTTCCAAGCGACGACGACACCACGGTGGCGTGCTCCTTCCTGAAGGCGTTGCTTGGGGGCTGCTCAAGCGGCGGTGGAAGTGGCGGCGGTTCGGTGTCGACACATGCATTCTGGTCAGCTTCATCTTGGAGGCTGCGACGACGTAGGCGACGCTCGTCTGGTGGAGCTACTGCCGATGGTCGAGGCATCGTCGGCAGTCTGCGCCATCAGGCTCAGGGTGCTCAGGGGGAAACCCCAGATCTGGGTCTTCTGGATTGGATGATGATGGCGTTCTATCGCTTTCCCTTCTGGGGCATCGTTTTGGAGCAAGTGCTGGCTGGAGGGATGGTGGAGCGGTGCTTCATCTCACACATTGATGGCGGCGGAGATCGATGGCATGGCGCTGTGGAGACTCGGCGTCCGATGCACGGAGATGGGCTCGCGCAGGAGGAGGTTGCTGTCTGGCGTCATGGTGACGTTGATGGCAGAGTGGCCAGACAAAGTAGAAGCCTCAACATGATCTGAAGACCTATGGAAGATGGCGGCGACGACACACGAGTGCGTCTGACCGGATTGTGCCCCAGACCCGGTATGTGGCTCGGCTGGGGCTTCCGAATGAGTTTCGGCTTCCGGCTTTTGATGTTAGGCTTAGGTGAGTGGTTTGGGTAGTGGCCCAGCTAGCACCCCTTCATCATATTGGATAGGAGTAGCGGCATATGTTGCCAAGATGGTGGATTCAGGCACATTGTTGTAATACTTTGTAAGGTCCTCGAGAATAATCAATAAAGTGGCCGTATGCATCTCCCAGATGCAGAGGCCGGGGGTCATCCTCCTTTTCTAAAAAAAAATGGCCTAATGACGTGAAGAAATTCCAAATACCGGCAATGTCTAGCTAATGTGATTTTTTCTTAATGCCGGCATTGACAAGAAGACTTCACGTGAATAAAACAGATCATCAGTCGGATTAGCGGATCGAGAGAGAACAGATTGGGGCGGCACTGGATTGTAGAGTTAGGATGCGGCGCTGGTACTTAGTCATTTCCTTTTGGCATTTCTTAAATCACACAACTTCATTGTTGTGAAACAGCTGCGGATGCAGAATCACTGCAGGGTTCGGTATAGTGAGGTTACAGATCTGGTTGGATCTCTCTCCCTCGCTTTCCCTGGAGTGGAATTTCTAAATGCTTCATATTATTTTGCTTGCCTTTGCTCATGGTGATAGTGACTGGGGTTAGGGCCTTAGGGGTAGAATCAATATTGGCATTAGTACGTATAAATGTATGGAGTGATTGGATGCTTGATAGATATCCTGGGATATGTATTTTCTTACACAGTACATTGCACTGGAATTTTTTTGTTTACTCTTGGCTACAAATTTCGGTAGCACTTAGACCACTGCAATGTTTGCAAATTATATCTGATGCTACCTTCAATTTGGCTGCTTTGATATTAAATTGTTAACCTGCTTGGCTGTTTTGCCTTTTTTAAGGACAAATCATCAGTTCAGAAACTTGTGGATTACGTAAGTGTAGCATTATCGATCCAGGGGTAAAATTAGCATGGTCAGTTTGCCAATTGCCACATCTAACTTCCAAAATGGAGAGGGTTGGCCAGTCAGGCATACATGAAATTTATTTTTGTTTTTCAACTACATAATCCTGAAACTATCCATTACTGGTATACATTGCTTTCCTTTCCAAAGCAAACTGTAAGCACTCCCCAAATACCAAAAGTGCCTTCAGAAAAAGATTCTCCCTAGACATGCTGGGAAAGTTTTGAGTTACTAATGTGAAGCATTTTTATTTCGGAATCATGGTAATTGATCCCAACTTCATATGGAACACTAATGGCTTGTTTAGTTGCCCCTTTTGATTTTGTGCAGTGATTCTGGGTTTCTAGCAAAGTAAAAATGGCAAATTCTTTTCTGAATTGATTACTAATATGGAACCTTCATGCCATCTTAACCTCTGGTTATTGATCTTGATGAACTCCAGCATTTACAGTTCTTCTATATTTGCTTGATTGCTAATTTGTTATCAGAATCGTGGTTATATGCACGTGATAGAAACTCTATGATGATTATACTATTACCAAGGGTTTTAGCTCACTTCCTCCTGTGCAGTAGCTGCATGTACCTCTAAATGCATTTAATCTAACTTACTCTTAACTTGCAGATTTATGTTCCTGGATGTACAGGCTTGACTGGTGATGGGGTGGTGAACATTGTTCAGCTTCTGCACGAACACAAGGGAAATATAAGTCGTCTCCGACTCGATGGCATTAGCAGGATGAGTAAGCATCATCTTGATATTATCATGTCTCTCATGTGCAAAGGAAACCCACAAGGGCAACAAGATGGAATCCCACTTTTCTACAACCATAGAGCCCGTGAAGCGCTGAACACCAATGATGAACGCCCTATTGATGTTGATGTTTGCTCAGTGTGTGCGAATGTCAGGCTTGTGTTTGATTGTACGAGGGATGACTGTAGGTATGCAACCTCTGATCCTCTAAATTCCCACGAGATCTTCTCTTTGGGAATAGCCTTAGTAGTGTATATTGGACTAATTGTGATTGCTTGATTCCTTATCCGTTCTGCTAGTTCAAGATTCATCTTTGATTTGTGATGGTCAGTGCTCATAGACATTGCTCGCCATTTTGCTCTCTCCTGTGGTTGTGGAACAGCTGACTTGGTTTTTTTTAATGAATGGCCTTTTAAGTGATGGCCCTGAAGCTCATTTATTTGCACTATGGGGCTATGGGCTACATGAAATCAACTTAGTTCTGTTACCTGTTTTGTTGCTCTTGTCTCGAGAATAACTGATGCAGACATTTAGGCATCCTTGTATTTCTACAGCTCTAATGAGTTCGACACGAATCAGTTAAGGTTTGTACACCTCCATATTGACAGTTTGGTTATATTTCAGGAAAGTGAGGGACAGCTTGTGGCGGTGCCGAGGCTGCTACTTCTGCTTTCCTAGATGCGAAAAATGTGGTGGCTGTATCAGTCCGGAGGATCTAGTCGAGGCTGATCTTGCTTGTTCAGATCTTATGTGCTTGGATTGTTGGCTTACGGTCCCTAAATGCAGCACATGCAATCGGCCTTACTGTGAGAGGCATGAAAATTTGATGGTGTCCTTGTCGATGGCTGGCCAGTTTTCATGCCAGCGTTGCAAGGAGCTCGGCTCATCACACGAGAGTCAGGAAGATGACTATTAGAAGTGAGCTTTCCACCCCTCTTCTGTTACTGCAAACACTTGAGGTACTTACTAAGAATTCTGTACTAGCATTTGCTATTGGATTTTACCGACGCTTCGAGCTTACAATGCTAGCTGAACATATCATGATGCTGAATTATATACCGATGTTTGTCAAATGAAGCAGATACATATTTCATGGACCAGTTAAACTGATTGTTTGAATGACAGTCCAATGGTCACAACTGGTGTACGCATGCCAGTGGACGCCTTAATTTTGCTGGCATTTTGAACATTATTATAATCGAATCATGACAGCATATCATTCACCTTCACTGAGCATTTAGCCCATTGGAATATGTATGCACACGTGCATCAAGTTTCACAAGGTTAATGCTATTGACTAAGATGCATCTACGGTACTTAGACTTGTCTCGTGAGTGAGTAAATAGCATAAAACCACTACAATTGTGGTTAGGGTTCTAAAGGACCACCACTATACAAATTTTCGTTCATAACTACTACTACTAGAGATTTCATCGAACTGCTCGTGTGCACAGTAAGTGGCATGGCGGCATATGCCTCGCCGGAGTCAAAGAAGGAGGCTTGCCGGGGAGGAGGCGGAGGTCTTCGGGCACGGTTGGGGTGCAGGCGGAGCGAGAGGAAGCTGCAGGCGAGCTCGGGGTGCTCAACTGCTCATGCGTTAGCTGCCCACATGGCCAGTCGCGGCGGTCGTCGGAGCTCGGCACCGTGGCGAGGCAGGCACGTGGACGCACGGGGAGGAACGGACGACACCAATGCCTGCAGGAGGCCAACGCGAGCCCGTGGGTGTCGACAAGGGGAACCGGAGCTTGTCGAAGAGGAGACCGCACCGCACGGAGGCGGAGAAGATGACGGCCAAGGCGACGATCAAGCGCGCCCTGGACCGATTCCTTTGGCGGGAGGGTAACTTGGGGCGAGGCAGAGCGCTAGGACATGGCGGCTGGGCTCGGGGAAGCCGTTGGCCACGAGGACGAAGGACGCCGCCGTCGGCGTGCTCTCGTGGTGACGCCTGTGAGTCGGGAGATACGAGTTCACAGACAGACATCCTGTGCATCCTTCTTCACCTCCACATCCTGTGCGTGTCGTCGATACCGCCCATGTCCAGCTCTAGAGCGATACAGGACGGGCTCGGCATCCTGGCCTTCGAGGTGTCGGCGGCCATGTCGCGATTGATCAGGAGTCGACGTGGTGGTCAGGAGTCTCTGCGCCTTTGTCCTGCGTGCCTCACGTCCACGGACCCTACAAACAACAAAGTACTACACATTTTGACGTGGAAGCACTCGTGCACAGCTACTTAAAGAAATCATAGTAAATGAATTATGCTGTATCTTTTATTACCCTACGTGCGCATAGCACAACGTAGCCACAGCGATCGATGTTACTGTAAGCGCATCCAGAGCTGCTTCAACAGTAAACATCATCTTGAAACGTACTAGTAATACAGAGAAGTGTAAAGACCTCGTCACGTGTGACTCTACAAGACTACAAACAAAGGATTAATTTGCCCTCGCTACAATCCGGTCGACTACACCGGCTATGCAGATCCATCTCGACGAAACTTATCACGTCGATGAAGCCAGCACCTTCTCCCCGGCCACGTTCTTGGACCAGCCGGTCGGACACCATGCCGCCGCTTGCGCTTGGCTTGGTACGCGCCCATCTTGGAAGCTACCACTGGTTCTTCTTCTTGCAGATCCGCTCGTGCGCCACGCCATGCATGTCTTCGAGCGCCTTCTCCCACACGGCGTGCGGCACGATCCCGCTCCTCCACACCCCCGGTCGCTGGTATGCTTCTTTGCACAGGACGTGGGCGACCTGGTTGCCCTCGCGGTATATGTGCTGCAGCTCGTACGTCGAGAAGTGCGCAAGCAGAGTCTTGATCTCCTGTTGCATGGACAGCGGTATGCGGGTCTGCATCTCCTTGCCGGTCAGGAGGTCCACCAGCACCTGGTCGTCGCCTTCCACCACAAGCCCGCCACGGAAGAAACTCATCGCGAGCCGCAGCCCGCGGATCAGTGCTCGCGCCTCCACTATGCCCACCGTGGAGTGCTCCGTCGGCTCGGCGAAGGCGACGAGGACGTGGCCGTTGCAGTCGCGGATGGAGCCGCCGATGCTCGCCCGGCCGGACCCGTCGTGATAGACAGATCCATCGAAATTCAGCTTCAACCATTCCCGGGGAGGAGGTTCCCACCTGACCAGAACGCGGCTCGGATGGAACGAAGGGGACGAGGCCGACAACGAGGTCGAGGTAAATGGTGTCCTGCAGAAAGGAGCAAAGGGAACTGGGGCTGCAATGCACGCCATGTCTAGCGCAAGCTAGATCTCTTCGCTTTCTCTTGCGTACTGCAAATGAGGAAGAAAGCCTAGCTGCTGGTCTATTTATTATTGATTTCGTGGTCCGCCAGTCGGATTCAAAATCCAATCCGTTTTCGGCTTGGAAAAGGCTCGTATTCGGTCGGCTAACTTTATCGCTTTGCGTCGACCGCGCTCACTATGCCATCCGATCGCCCGATCACATTTTTCTAAAAAAAACTTCCGATCTACTCGTCTTAAATCAAGACAATACAACGAACACCAAAAAATTACACAAATCCATAGACTATCTACCGACGACTATAAACACTGAAGCAAGATGAAGACGTGACGCCATCATCGTCGCGGGAGCCGAACAGAACTTGTTGTAGTAGACAATCAGAAAGTCGTCATGCTAAGGCCCCATAAGACCAGCGCATCAGAACAACAAACGCCACTTATGAAGAGTAGCGTAGATCAAAATGATCTAATCTGAAGACACACAAACGACAACCAGATCTGAGCAAATCAACCAAAGACATATTCACCGGAGACACACCTGCACATGTCCACCGATGATGCGACGCACCATGGAAATGAAGGCTAGACGGAGAGAACCTTATTCCATCTTCAAGGAGCCATCGTTGTCTCGCCTTCCTGAGCAGGACAAAAACCCTAACAAAACTCGAAAAAAAAAATCCAAAAACATAGCCCTCCCACCAGCAAGGTGTCGGTGTTAAACCCGACAGATCTCGGGTAGGGGGTCCCAAGCTTGGTGATATGAGCTAGATGTAACATGAGACAAAACGGACACAATATTAACCCAAGTACGGACCCTCTTGATGAGATAAAAATCTACATCCTGCTTCTGATATATTGATTGTGATGGGGTATAGTGTATAGTATGATCTACCGCAAGATCGTATGAAGGAGTTCTAAGCTCTAAACCTTGCAATAGTGCCTCTACAGACTAAACCGTACGGCTTATATAGACGTTCAGGGTGCCTAGGGTTTACAAATTAGGGTTTACAAATGGTCAGTTACAATCTAGGGATAAGCATGCTGATCGTTCAAATATGCTTGAAGTGTACGTCAAGTCCTCAGAAGATCTTCATCTTGATTACTCCAAGGGCCAGGGCCTGCATGGCCCATTCATCAATCTTTGGTGGGTCCTTGGTCCGGCCCATAAACAGGAGACTGACGTTGCTAGCACCCCCTAATCCAGGACCCCAACAGTGCCCCTGAACTAGTCTTCAAGCCGAGGACATCGGGTATCTTCTTTGGGATAACTTTACAAGCCTGAGTCTTCGGCTTCGTAGACGAGTTCCATCCTTCATGTTAGCTCCCACTTCCGAGGACATGCTCGGCTCTGAGGTCTTCTTGGCTTTCCCTATCACAACCAGGCATCAAATAAGAGGAAATATCTTTTAACAAGACCTTCTCCTTGGCGTGCTTTATTAATTCAGCAAGGCCGAGTAAAAATCAGACCTCTTTGAATTTTTTTGTGCTGTTATCAAGTTTGGACCATCTTCAAAACATTTCTTCTAGACTTTGTGATGAAATTGACCTCACCCTAAATTATCACTGGATCACAGCACAACCCAGAGCACACCAACTCAACTCTCAGTCAACTGACAGTTGAAACTCTAGCTCTGAATTGCACAAAGGAAACTACACTTCCTCTGTTGAGCTAGATCACCCCTCCCAAACATCTCAAGAGACTCTCCTAACCCTGGGGATCAAAGGAGTGACACCACATTGGAAAATCTCATGCAATATTTCTCTCACAGAAACTATTTTAGTTTCTGCTAGAAGGGGAAAAATAAATCCAGAGAACACTCAGGCTCATCAAAAATTAGTGAAATTAATTGGAGATGACCTTGATGCCTAGTGTGAGCTCTGGTAAAAATGTGAGAACAATTAGGACATGGCAAAGTCTCCAAATAATTGACAGAACCATGATGCCCTAAAGTGTTGTGAAGGAACTACCCTCTAGGTAGTTTTGGAAATTCCCAAATATTTTGGGCAGCACCTAGTAGTTGCACATGACCAAATTATATCACAATATTGATCATTCACAAAGCACACAAAATCACAGTACCCACTTAAGCTTTCTCCCCTGTTTTTCAGGTTGTGAAGGAAGTGCTAGCTAAGAGTGTTTGTTTGAGCTGAAATTTTGTAGAGTGTTGCACCCTAGTTTTAGATCACTACTAGACATAGCTTCCTAGCTTGGATCACAACAAACTGACCTGCACAAGCCCCAGCATGTTGCTGTCCGAACTGAACATGGTGAAGCAATCTAGCACTGATTCACGCCAGGACAGAACCAATAACACACACACACACCCAAAACACGGCCCCTCACACCCTAGATAAGGTTTGGCCGCCTGGAGGCCACTGGCATGCCCAATGCCAGTGGTGACCACCTCCAGAGCACGCTAACTGTGTGCTCTACTGCACGTTCGTGACCAAACCCTCGCTCCACCCTGCCCCGTGCCAGACCATTGTGTCCGCCGCAGAGCCCCGTCCCCGCTCACCTTCTAGAAGCCATGTAAGCAGCCAAACCGCTCAAACGCTCGAGACCAATATTCAATATATTTTAGCGTAGTTTGAATTTTACCGTTTCATTCGATTTGGCATTTCGAAAAAGTGGATGTAACTAATTTCAAAAAACTCGTTTCACTTTATTTAAAAAACTGATTTCACAATTAAGAAAAAACAGATTTAACTCATTTTAGAAGACTAATTTTATTCATTTTAAAACACTGATTTCACTCGTATCAAAACACATATTTAAGTCATTTCAAAGAATTGGTTTCGCCCATTTTGAAAAGGTGATTTCACTTATTTCAGAAAACTAAATTCACTCATTTTGAAACACTGATCTCAGTTATTCCGAAAAATGTATTTCACTCATTTACAGAAACAATTTTACTCATTTCAGAAAACGTATTACGGTTGTGTAAAAAGACAAATTTAGTTATGTGTACGGAAAACGTATCTCCTCATTTTAGAAAATTGGTCTCACCCAATTCAAAGATCATATTTCACTATTTTTAGATAGCTAATATCACTCATCTGAAACGTTGAAATTTATGCGTGTTTGAATGTATTCAAGATTGATTCTTGTTCTAAAGGTCTTGGCTCCAGGAGTTCAAATATACACAAGGTTTCGAGAACAAAAATTTTGTTTTGAAGATATGAACAATCTAAATAGTAAAAATGGAATTAAAAGTGATGGATTTAGAAATGAAGAGAGGAGAGATAATGTTGGAGAAAAGAGAAAAGAAGGATCATGCATGTGTCCTTTGCATGTGTATGGTAGGCCCAGTCTAATGAAACACGGAGACTTAAATAAGGAAAAAAGGGAAATACAAATGTACATCTTTTGAGCTGACAGCATGCTATTGGTGAGAGAACCACCGGTACATCTCGGCACCGGTAAAAAACACTGCGGCCATGATGTAGACAGGGTTCGCCGGACAGAAAGTCCATAGTATGATGAAGTGTACAGCCTATTCGAATAGCCGCGTTCACGATCCATTGGTCTTATCTCCCTTCTCCATCTCCACATCCTCTGTGTGTAGTCGACACCGCCCATGGCGATCTCCAGAGCGAGACAGGACGGCTCGGTATCCTGGTCTTCGAGGTGGCGGTGGCCATGTCGTGATTGATCAGGAGTCCGACGTGGTGGTCAGGAGTCTCTGCGCGTTCGTCCTGCGTGCTCCGGCTCAGTCTCGCCTGCTCCGGCTCACGTGCGGCGAGCTCGTGGCGGATCTTGGCCGCGCGTTGCCGACACCGCTGCATTGCCAACACCGCCGCGTCGCCTCGGGACGCCATGCCATGGACTGCCGGACGCGCCATTCCTCCACGACTTTTTTTTTTTTGAAACGGAGGCAAAAGTTTTGCCTCATCGATTAATTAAGCAGAAGAGAGTTGCTCGGTTAATTAGGGAAAACCGAGCGAAAACCAGATTGCCCAGTTAATTATGGAGAACCGGGCTAAAACCCTCACAACCGCTGAGCGGCACACATAGAAAGCCCCACGCACACCACTCCAAAGAGGGCCTCACGAGACCGCACGCAGGCGTCATCGTCATCATTTCTCCCCTAGAGGCGTCATCGCCATCCCTACACTCTGAGCAAACGACTCCCACTTCGCCGTAGGCGATCGTCGACTCAACCCACACTGTAGCGGACACGTGAAGCTGCATGAAGATCGATGCCAAAACCTCAGCCTCCTGCGGCCAGCCAGCGCAACTCCAACTCTGACGGAGAACTCAGTAGGACAAAACCAGGCACGGCTGGCGCCACGGGAGATCGCCGAACGGGCAACCTGCAGCCAGTCATCGTATACCACAGGGCCTCGCCGCCGCAGCTTCGACTCCATAGCAACAAGCAAACCGAGGCAATACCGTGGACACGCCGAAGAAGAGCCGACTACCGCAACCATTGCCGCGTCGCCGACATCACTCCCACCATCATCGTTGCCACAGAAGCCTGGACGCCACCAACCACCGGTCCCGCTTGCCGATGCCGAGCTCCAAGACGAAGCCCCCAAGAGGGAAAACGACACCAAGGCGCCGTCATCGTCCGATCATAAGATCTAGGGTTTCCCCTGAAGAGGCCGAGATGGCCGGATCCGTGCGAGAGGAGTGCGGCAGCAGATCAGCGATGCCTCCAGGAAGGTCACGACGGCCA